TTTATTTATTTTTTTTGAGACAGAATTTCACTCTCGTTGCCCTGGCTGGAGTGCAATAGCATGATCTTGGCTCCCTGCAACCTCCACCTTCCAGGTTCAAGTGATTCTCCTGTCTCGGCCTCTGAGTAGCTGGAATTATAGGTGCCTGCCACCACACCTGGCTAAAATTTAGTAGAGATGGGGTCTCAAACTCCTGACCTCAGGTGATCCACCTGCCTCAGCCTCCCAAATTGCTAGGATTACAGGTGTGAGCTACCACATCCAACCGTTTTGTTGTTGTTGTTGTTGTTTTGGTATTTTTAGTAGAAATGTGGTTATGGCATGTTGCCCAGGCTGGCCTCGAACTCCTGGCCTTAAGTGATCCCTCTCAAAGTACTGGGATTACAGGCATGAGCCACCATACCCAGCCTTCCTTACTGTCTTTTAATCTATGAAGATCTTCCATCTTTGCTGTTGATGATAGTGAAATTTTGAAGGATTTCAGGCTAGCTGTTTTGTAGAATGCCTGCAGTTGGCATTTGTCTGATATTTCCTCTTGAGGACATTCAGGCTGTGTCCTTCAGGCAGGAGTACAGCATATTCCTGATGTTCTCTATCACTGCATTATGTCACAAGGCACATGTTTCTTGTTTTGATTATTTGGCTAAGGCAGCATCTGCCTTTTTTCTCCGCTATATAAAAATACTAGTTCTTCCTTTGGTGGTAAGAAATGGCTATGGGGAGACATTTTGAGACTATATAAAGATCTGGTTCCTCTTTAAGCATCTGTCAGTTTCCTTGTGGTTTTCATTTGCATTTCTCATCTGACAAGTGAGATTGAACATGGCTCTTGTGTTTATAAGCTGTCTGTCTTTACCTTTACTGTGAGACTTCACTGCACATATTTCTTGCATTTTAATCAATTTCCTGCCATTGGAGAGGCCACCACTCTCGATATCTGAACTTATTGCTTGCTAAGCAAGGGAGAGCTAGGCTGCAGAGCACAGGCCCTCTATATGTTGCCAAGCATCATGGGGCTCAGGGATCAGTGACTTTCAGATTCAGGGATATTGAGGGATTGTTTGGCCTTTGGTTTTGGAAGGTAGACAGTAGGGTGAGGCTGCTGCAGCCTGGCTGGCTTCCAGAGCGTGGCTACTGGTGTGAGGTTGCCATTGGTCCATTAGGAAGGGTTTTGTTTTGTTTCTAGTCAGTATTCTGCTGAACCATTAGGAAGGGTTTAAACTGGTTCTAGTGGTTATTTATGGTTTGGGATTATAATCAAAGAAGAAAGGACAGTCCATCTCTTCCCTTCTTGAATTTGGAGAATTGGAACCTCTTAGTCCAGGGCCTGTCAGGACTCTCAGACACATGCCCTGGTCCCAAAGCCGTTTCTTTTCTAGCTCATCTGAGGGACAGGGCACCCACTCTTCAGTACCATCGGCCCCAAAAGGGGAGGATGCCAGGGGCTTTGAAGGAGGTGACACTGATGTGTACCCTACCAGCTCCCATCTTGAGAATGACTCATATTGACAAAGCCATCCTTTATAATGTCAAACCTCTTTTTAAAAATTCAACTTTTCTGCGGGGCGTGGTGACTCACGCCTGTAATCCCAGCACTTTAGGAGGCCGAGGTGGGTGGATTGCTTGAGGTCAGGCATTCAAGACCAACCTGCCCAACATGGTGAAACCCTATCTCTACTAAAATACAAAAATTAGCTGGGTATGGTGACGGACACCTGTAATTCCAGCTACTAGGGAGGCTGAGGCAGGAGAATTGCTCAAACCCAGGAAGCAGAGGTTGCAATGAGCTGAGATTATACCACTGCACTCCAGCCTGGGTGACAGAGTGAGACTCCATTTCAAAAAAAAAAAAAAAAAAATTTCAGCTTTTCTATTAGATTTGTGTGTACTTCGTGACATTGCTTCAGATCACATGATTTTTTTTTTTAATTAAAATGGGTTTTATGGTTTTAAGTAAAATTACGTATTTTAAAACTGATAAGCTTGGTGTGGTGGCACATGCCTGTAGCCCCAGCTTCTCTAGAGGTGAGGTGGGAGGATCACTTGAGCCTGGGAGATGTTGCAATGACCCCAGATGACACCACTGCATTCCAGCCTGGATGAAGAGTGAGACTCTGTCTCAAAAAAAAAAATTAATTAAATAAAAATAAATAAAAGGGCTCCACAAAATCTGGACAGGGTAACTGATGAACTGATTATCTGTTTAATATTTAGAAATCTCAAAACTCTAAAATAGAGATTATGGCATCTACTCAAATACTGTTTGAAATACTATATACTCTCAAAGTTTTAATAACAAATTATAATAGTAAAAATTGTATTGAAGGTTCAGCCTACTCAGATTCTTCTTTTGTTTTGTTTTGAGAAGGAGTTTCACTCTTGTTGCCCAGGCTGGAGTGCAATGGTGCTATCTTGGCTCCCTACAACCTCCACCTCCCAGGTTCAAGCAATTCTCCTGCCTTAGCCTCCCGAGTAGCTGGGATTACAGGCCTGTGCCGTCAGGCCCAGCTAATTTTGTATTTTTAGTAGAGACAGGGTTTCTCCATGTTGGTCAGGCTGGTCTCACACTCCCGACATCAGGTGATCCGCCCGCCTCCGCCTCCCAAAGTGCTGGGATTATAGGCATGAGCCACCACACCTGGCTCCTCAGATTCTTAAAGACTTCTTTGTGAATTCCATAAGCAGGATTTAAGGATAGCATCTCCACATAATGAGATGTAACACTTGCTTAGTTTTAAAATGTCCAGATCAATTATTGTTATTCCTCGAAGCATGGGCTTGGGTCTGCATCATGTTGGGCGCACAGCATTATGGGAAGGGGAAAGGCTCCAGCTGCCTTAGAGCTGGGGTTTCAGAGTGAGACAGATTTGGCATAGAGTCCAGGAACTCCACTTACTTAAAGTCCTTGGGCAATTGTTCCCTAATTGTCTGAGCCTTTGTTACCTCATCTGCATAATGGTTTAATAGGCCATTTGGAGGGCTAAAGGCGATAATGGCCCAGGTGCAGTGGCTCAGTCTGTAATCCCAGGACTTTGGGAGGCCAAGGCTGGTGGATCACCTGAAGTCAAGAGTTCAAGACCAGTCTAGCCAACATGGTGAAACCCTGTGTCTACTAAAAATACAAAAATTGCCGGGCGCGGTGGCTCACGCCTGTAATCCCAGCACTTTGGGAGGCCGAGGCGGGTGGATCACAAGGTCAGGAGATCAAGACCATTCTGGTTAACATGGTAAAACCCCGTCTCTACTAAAAATACAAAAAATTAGCTGGGCATGGTGGCGCGTGCCTGTAATCCCAGCTACTCAGGAGGCTGAGGCAGGAGAATTGCCTGAACCCAGGAGGCGGAGGTTGCGGTGAGCTGAGATCGCGCCATCGCACTCCGGCCTGGGTAACAAGAGCGAAACTCCATCTCAAAAAAAAATAAAAATACAAAAATTTAGCTGGGCACAGTGACGGGTGCCTGTAATCCCAGCTACCTGGGAGGCTGAGGCAGGAGAATCACTTGAACCCTGGAGGCAGAGGTTGCAGTGGACCGATATCATGCCTCTGCACTCCAGCCTGGGTGACAGAGGGAGACTCCGTCTCAAAAAAAAGGAGACAATGCAGGAAAGAAACATAGTCTGGTACCTGGCACATATGTGCCCAACTAGTGGTTGCTGTGGTGAAGATCTGATCATCTTTCACCTTTACATACTTAATAGATCAAATTCTTCATGTAATCATTTTAACAACTGGATTAGTTGTTTTTTAATGTTCCCCTTTTATTAGGAAAAAGCACCCAAAAAGTTACATTAGTGGTTTTTACTTTAAAAAACAATTTAAGAACAATTTCTGACCTAGTTATTGTAAATTGAAATGTATTGTAAATTGAACACATACCAAAACGTCATAAGCATCTGCTTTTTTTAGCTTTGAAAAATAAACATCAGGGAACATCTGTCTTTGAATTGTGACCAGTATGTGTATGTCCTGAGTGTAATGGTTAAGAGGGTAGGATCTGGACTCACACTACCCAGTGAAGCCCCAGCTCTAACCCTGATTAGCCGTGTGAGCTTGGGCAACTTCCCTGTGCCTCAGTTTCCTCTCTCCGGCATGAGGAGGAGAGTGGTAACTCCCTCATTGAGTTGTCATGAGGATTATTTATTGCTGCACTTAGGCACTTAAGGCACAAGATAAGCGTCAGCACATTAGCTGGCCTTATACTTTACCGACTAGTCATTCAAGTTATTTTAATTTAAACAGAATCTATTCTGTACTACTGATTCTTTTTCCCCTTTACAGTTTTTTTTTTTTTTCTTTTTTGTGGGGACAGAGTCTCACTCTGTCGCCCAGGCTGGAATGCAGTGGCTCAATCTCGGCTCACTGCAACCTCTGCCTACCGGGTTCAAGCAATTCTCCTGCCTCAGCCTCCCGAACAGCTGAGACTACAGACACATGCCACCATGCCTAGCTAATTTTTGTATTTTTAGTAGAGACGAGATTTCACCATGTTAGCCAGGATGGTCTCAATCTCCTGACCTCGTGATCCACCTTCTCAGCCTCCCAAAGTGCTGGGATTACAGGCGTGAGTCACCACGCCCAGCCCCCTTTACATTTTTTTTTAAACCAAGTAAACAATAGCTTTCCATATTCCACAAAAATTGTGTCATATTTTTATCACACATGTATGATGATTTTATAAGAAAGCCATAAAACTCACCTGAATAAATGTACTTACTACACTGTATTGAAATGATACATTTTTAAACTAACTTGCTTTTTGTCTTTTCTTTCCCGTTCTAAAGTGATGTTCCTCCATCTTACGTCCAAACTAAATTTTCTAGGCTGAAAGCTATCTATGTCCCATTTTGGCAGAAAAAGACTTTTCCAGGTCAGTATTCTTCATATTTTATGGTTAAGAACATGGTGTTTGGTGACACATGCTGGTAATGAGAGTCACCAGGGCAAGTGACTGAACTTGGAGCCTCAGCTTCATCAGTTGCAAAATGGTGAAGATTATAATCCCTACTTGACAGGACTTTCAGAAGTCCTAAATGAGATCATGAACATGTAAGGTGTGGTCACCACGGTACTTGACACTTAGTGACCACTCTAAATAACTGAGTGCTGCTGGTGTTGCCATCACACACACACTCATGTGCACACAGCACATGCACGCATGACATGCCGTGCACACCACATGCATGCGCTCACTTACAACACATGCCTGCACTTACAACACATGCACTCACACACATGCACGTACACACAACACATGCACGTACACACAACACATGCACTCACGCACAATACATGCCCGCATGTACAACACATGCACTCACACACAACATATGCACTCACAACTCACAACACATGCATGTACACAAAACATGCACTCACTCACAATACATGCCCGCATGCACAACACATGCACTCACACACAACATATGCACTCACGCACAATACATGCCCACATGCACAACACATGCACTCAGGCACAACACATGCACATACACACAACACATGCATTCACGCACAACACATACCCGCACAACACATGCACTCACATGCATGTACACACAACACATGCACTTACGCCCAACACATGCCCACACACACAGCACATGCCCGCACATACAACACATGCACTCACACACAACACATGCACTCACACACACATCCACGTACACACATACACATGCACTCACATCCATACACACAGAGAAGCATACACATGTTCCAGAAAGAATGAAAGACACCCAGTTCCTTCTTTGTAGCTATTTGTGGATGGTTTAGATACGTAAGTCCCAAACTCAGTCATCAGAGCCACGTGAGGAACTTGTTAAAAACACAAATTTCTGGCCAGATGCAGTGGCTTATGCTTATAATCCCAACACTCTCAGAGGCCAAGGTGGGAAGATCGCCTCAGGTGAGGAGTTCAAGACCATTCTGGGCAAAGTAGAAAGACCCCACCCCCAATCTCTGCCAAAAAAATACAAAAATTCGCCAGGCAGTGGTGCGTGTCTGTGGTCCCAGCTACTCGGGAGGCAGAGGTAGGAGGATTGCTTGAGCCTGGGAGTTCCAGGTTGCAGTGAGCCGTGATTGCACCACTGCACTCCAACTGGAGCAACAGAGCAAGACTGTCTCAAAAAATATATATACAGATTTCTGAGCCTTGTTTCAGACCTAACAATTCCTAGTCCCCAGACTGAGTCCAGAGCCTGGATTTTCTCTGACGAGCTTGCAGGCCTGCGCTGTCTCATGCCATCTGCGCAACACTCGTGTTTCTCCTGGACCCACCATTTGGATGATACTGTAACCCGGGCTGTGATGAAATGCATCTTTGTGTTCAGCACACATCACTACCTGGTATTGAATCCTTATGAACTCCATGGCCATGGGCAAGTCTCTTAATGTCTTTAATGCCTTGGTTTCCTCAATTGAAAAACAAGTTAAAAATAGTGCGTACCTCATAGGATTTCTGCAAGGATTGAAGAAGTGAATGTGAGTAAACCAGTTAGAGCCAAACCCTACACACAGCAACAACTAGAACGGTTCATAGTCATTACCAGCCTCCTATATGCCTTGACTTTGATAAGAGGCCTTGTACAGACAGATAACTGCACAATTAAATTTATTTTCTGTAGAGATCATCGACTACCTTTATGAGACTACTCTACCTTTGCTTAAAGAAAAGTTAGAAAAGATGATGGAGAAAAAAGGCACTGAAATCCAGACTCCTGCAGCACCCAAGCAAGTGTTCCTCTTCCGAGACATCTTTTATTATGAAGACGATAGTGAAGGAGAGGATGGTGAAAAAGAAAGTTGAAAGTCAGGAGCAGTGGCTCACACCTGCAGTTCCACCGCTTTGAGAGGCTGAGGCCGGCAGATCACCTGAGATCAGGAGTTGGAGACCAGCCAGCCCAACATGATGAAACCCTGTTTCCACTAAAAATACAAAAATTAGCTGGGTGTGGTGGCCTGCGCCCGTAATCCCAACTACTTAGGAGGCTGAGGCAGGAGAATCACTTGAACCTGGGAGGCGGAGGTTGCAGTGAGCAAAGATCGCACCACTGTACTCCAGCCTGGGAGATAGAGCAAGACTCTGTCAAAGAAAGAAAAGAGAGAGAGAGAAACTGAGATTACTATTTCTTGTCCCTTTTTCTCAGTTGATTATATTTATATACATGTCAGTAAAGCTATTTTCAGTATTGATGTTGAATAAAGAATGTACAATGGCCAGAGGAAAGAGTATGAAATGATCATTTATACTCTTTCCTCTGGAGCATTAAAATGTATTACCATTTATATAAAAGTGTATTTGAATGAAAAAAGGAATACATGAATTGATTTAATAAATAATGACAAGTAATGGTTTTATTACAGGATAAAAGTTTCACAAATCCCTCTAACTGTAGCAGAGAATAGGGTCACATCCTATGAACATTTCATTACATAAGTTCAGCTATATGGGTACTGAGCGAAAATGAGAAAGTTAGCAATTTCAAAAAAGCATGCCCTTCTGCTGTGTTTCCAGTTGTTTAGCTGTCTGCTCTCCATGTATGTATGTATCGCATTTGTGTTATTTCTTTTTTTTTTTTTTTTTTTTTTTTTTTTTTTTTTTTTTTTTTTTTTTTTTTTTTTTTTTT